ATATAAACAAATTTTACATTCTAGAATATAAGTAAATACACTTCAGGAACGAAAAATCTCTTGCAAACAGTAAAACATGATTTACAAAGACAGTAGTTCTCAGGGACTTAATTGTGTTTCTTTTACATTTCAAACTACTTTAAGACCAAATAAAGTGTGTTTCATCAAGCGCCACATTAGCAGCAGGCGGTGAGTATTTCTAATTTAAAAGTGCCTCTCTGATGAGAACATCTGCCACTTCCACATTAGCATACAGGTTGTGATCGCCTGGCTGCTCTGATCAGAACTGTTTCTCAGGGGACTGAGTGTGAGTGGGTTTCATCAGCTCTCATCACTCCTCCTCCCTGTCCTCTGTCACATCCAGCAGCTCCCTCACATGGTCACCTCTCCTGCTGCTCCTCCTTCCTCCTGTTCTTCACCGCTCTCGATCTGTTATCTTTACCCCGAGTCCCATCGCTGCCATCACCTCCTCATCCACATGATCCCCGGTCATGCTTATGGATGAGGACGGACCCGTCTCCATCATCCTCATCTTACAGAGGTTTATATTTGCAGGTTTGGGTTGCAGATTAAACACTATCGAACCATATTAACTTCCCCTTCTTCTCTCTGACACGCCACACTGATATTCCTCCACAGATGCTCTGGCTCCATCCACTTAATCACGTCAAGGTCCTCTGCCTGCACAAGCCGTCACGGGCGGCTGTAGATATTTCACAAAATGTTGCTGTCAGCAAATACAAACGAACATTCCTAGTGGCAGTTTTTTTTTTTTTTGCCATTAGAGCAGGAAGCTTTTTAAAGGAGGAAAGAAAATAAAAATGGCACCATTACATTTTATAGGAAACCTCCTTAATGTGCTTGGTAATGAATTATGGGATGTCAAGTGACTGCTCAAGCTTTGAAATGAAAATATGCACACACAGTACAATGCTCTCCCTTACAGGCCCTAACATGACTGTAGGAGTTTATTTGTGCAAAGAGGTAGATAGAGTAGATTTTACATGGGCAGAATTCAAATATATCTTTTTATTTTGTTCAACAGTAAACCTTTGTCTGTTTTTACTGTAAATATAAAGCATGCTGGTATACGTATAGTTAACAAGACATCATCTGCCAAGCCTAAAGTAAAGCACACATAATATTTTTTTCAAGAGCAAGTCCAAGACTATAATGTTAATAAAATCCAGCACAGAATGAATTCTCCTCACGATATGACATTTTGCTGAAAATCCCCCCTTTTCAGTTGAGTTTGAGATTTCTTTTTATAGCAGCAAAATAAATAAAGTGTCCCACCCCTCAAGGTCTAATGGGATCATTGACCTAGATTGTAAATTTAGCTCTGATATAAAAAGGAATTACAGAAATAGTCATAAATCTCACATTTATAAAAAGAACAAACGCTCCCGCTCAAGTGCGCTCAGCTCAAGGACGAAGAAAAGCGTACGTAAAATCAATAATCCTGCACGCCATGACTTCTCTCTCAGATGTACATGAACGCACCACATCCCACAGTCTGACAGCATCAAAGACGCAGAAACTGCAGATTTTCTACCGCCACAGACTTCACCGAACGCGGCGCCAATTAGACAACACAAAACTGTCAAGAAGCTGGCAAAGACAACAAAAGCACACGACGGCAAAACACGTGTCCTCGAACACACGCTGCGACGGCGCCACTAAACCTCTACACAATCAGTTTCCCTTACAAACCATTTCATGTTAAACTTTCAGTGGGAGTTGTTTATTTCAGATGAGTGACACCGAGCTTCTGTCCCAAACTGACATCTGTCGCAGAAGTGCGTAACTCTAACCACGGCGTGGCCTGTCGGGCTTTCCAAGTTCGTGTAATGTAGACACGGAAACACAAGCTGCAACTGAGCCCGACTACAGTGTCTTAGGCAAAGAATTAAGGCTCTTAAGGCAACTATTGTCTGCTCAAAGCGCACGCCACGTTTTATTTTACATTTTACACAACAAACCGATCCTGTCAAAAGGCAATTACAAAGTTTGTTACCTTAAAACAGTGTAATTAAACATTTAGGCCGGGCTGCATGAGGAAAGCCTACTTGGTGAGTAAAAGCAATTATTGTAATGGATGACCTGAAACACAACACCCAGAAGCCCTTTGCCTCAAGGGATGAAATAATCCACGGCGGCAGCAAGAAGCAGCAGTTATGACTGACAGGTGGAAGAAAGTACTTGTGTAGAGGAAAAACATCCCACTGTGCGTGTTTTAAAATGTGCTGACAAGCACCGAAAGCCAGGGAAGTTTTGAAAAACGCTAAAAGGATGCTGATGAATCATTTAAAATGCCTTTAAATTAAAACTTTCTGAGTCAAAGTGGGAAAAACATCTTCGATTGAAGGTCTAGCATTCCGTGTATTTTACCTGTCGCCTTACACGCCAGTGTTTTAAATATAAATAAATGTGAAGTTTTAGCTTTTTAAAAAAAAAAAAAAAAAGTTAGATCTTGAAAATATGCAGGTTGCAAGATGTTGCAAATTCCTGCACGATCACAGCCCTCAGATTGTGTGTTGGGGAAGACTTTCAGCTACTACCACACCAAATTTTAGCTCAATATCTGTAAAATTGTCTGTTATTAATGTTTTTGTTATGGTCACTTAGACCATATTGAAATAGAGTGTCTCCAAAAGTTAATCAGTGGTATCCTGTAATTATTGTCTGAAAATTTCATCAAAATCCGTCCAGTGACTCATAAGATACTTTGCTACATGGTTGACTTTAGCAGGTAGACCTGATCTTAATAAGAAATCTGAGGATTAGCTGATTCAGTGCTTTAAAACTAGACTTTTTAATAGCCTGTGAAGCAACAGCTACAACTAAAATATTCTCAAATAGCCCCAAATCGATTTGCATTAACTTACAATGCATGCAGGCCTAAACATAAATACATACATCTATGTATTATTTAAAATAATTTTAACTTAAACATAGGGAGCTGACAAATCTACTTTCTTAATAAAAACAACTTTTCTTTTATTTTTTACCTAAAAGAGATAAGTTAAAAAAAGAAATTCTTCTAAAACACATTCACTTTTTTCAAACTGTTGGCCAGCAGAGGAAGTAAACAAGAACAAGATAAACGACACAACAGAGTGTGAAGGAAACTGACAAATGCTGTAAACTCCCGCCCATCACCCTGCCTCGCACAGGTTTCTGCTGCTGAAGGGAAACGGTTTTGAGATGTCACAAAGGATTTGTTAATCCAGTGAAATGTAGTAAAATTTTCTTCTGAAATGTACAGAATGAAGATGCTCCATTTAATATGTAGATCTGAAAACAACATGCTAATGTGTTTAAAAGAAAAACGTTTCCATTGAGTTTCTCCCCCCGATAAAAGCAACACCACATGCTGTTTTACATGTCAAAAAGCTTCGCAAACATCCAGTGGCGTTTAAAACCTGCAATTTTAAATAGGCCTGTCACAATAACAAATTTTGCTGGGCGATTAATTGTCTTAGAAATTATTGCGATAAACGATAATATTGTTTGAAATTTGACGATAATTAGTAATTATCGTCAAATTTAAAAAGAAATGTTGATTTATCTTTGTGTGTAGTACCTTTTTTGACCACCAGATGGCAATATAAGACTGTTTGAACCGAAGGATGGATAGCAAGGGAGCGAGCAGCGTGTGTCTTTAATAAAAATGGGCTGCCTGTTGTTTTTTGGTTCTCAAAATGGCGGATGCCCGGTGTGGTTTGAACTCTTTAGCATAGCATTTGTCACACAAAGCATTTAATAAAAAATCAGTAAACCAGTTCTCAGCTTCTTTTTGCAGAGAAAAACAACTTTTTAGACAAAGGCACGGGTTTCAACTGGGAATTTTGGAGCTTAGACAAAACGGAGGTTTGTTCCTGAGACTGGCCTGTTAGCTTAGCTTCTCAGCTTAGCTGCTTTTAACGATCCAAAAATGTGATTTTGGACGGTTAAAACAGATTTTAAAGAGAAAAGAGAAAGGGAAGTGTCAGTGAAGAGCACCAGAGTTGAGCCATTTTTCATGCAGTGTCCAGTGAAAGAGAGAGACATGAAGAAATATTAAAGCGGATAAATGAAAATGAGGTTGATAATTTTCATTTATCATGCGATTAATTGATTTAATGTTTATCGCGACAGGCCTACTTTTAAACAAATGACACAAAATGAAACACCTCCCATGGTGTGTTTTGAACATTTTTGGTAGCTAAACCTACATAAACAGAAAAAGAGTGAATGAAAATGAAACATAAGATCAATTTTTACATCTGAAACTGAACAAATTGCACAATTAGAAAAAGTTAAATGAGTTTAAAAAGATAATTTTTATTTGAAGTGCTGTTGTTTGGCAGCTGCTATCATAATCAGTGCTGAACTAAATATTTAGAAATGTTAAGTTTCTGGAAACTTAAATCATACTTTGTGTAATCTATACTAAAAAGGCCAGCACAATTCAATCAAGTTTAGCAAACACTAAAATGGCTACAACTCAACATTTATTTTTATTTTTCACTTTTATTGAGCTCTCTGAGCCTTAACAGATCACACAAGATCTTTGTTTATTTCCCTCTCATGCAATATACTGTTCTAGAATTGCGCTGCTCAAGGTGGCTGCATGTTGGAGTAGCTCTCTTATGTTCATTCTGAGATTTTACTTTTGAAAACTTGAATTCCTCTTTTTTCTGGATGATTACTTCTTCTGTTATCATGTGCTGTACTGCTACAAGGATTTTTGCTGAAACCTTTTTAAGCCAATAATACTCACTCAGGTCATCTGGAGAGTTTCTTTGTTATAGACGTTTCACCCTCTATCCGGAGGGCTTCATCAGTCTGAGGAGTTCCAGTAAACTGTTTCCCCACCAAGCAGTAAACTTCTTAAGTGGACCAAGCAGTTTGTTTGAAACCTTTTTTTTACTTTTGGACATTTGTTATGATGCGTAACTATGACAACAAGGTGGTTTTCTATAACCGGGAGCAACTGATTAACATCTCAAAAGCTCAACTAATACCTCAACTACAGCTCCAAATCCCAAATGAGTTGAAAAGGAGGCACCGTGGATGCATTTCCGTCTACATGGAGGCGGTGCTCGAGCGCATGACTGCCAAGATCTTGGAGTGTAGTAGGAAACGCGGCTCTTGACAGCGGGAGAGCCAAGATCATATCCCGGTACCTGCAGTTAAGTCTGCGGCAACGAGGGTCTTAACAGCCTGCTGGGAGAAATGGCCATTGCTCGGGGAGGAGTTCTGCCCGGCATTCAGGCAGTCCTGCTGCCCAAGAGGACTGAGAGGTCTGCTGGGTCTGGGTGGAAGGATCAGCGTCTGCAGCCAGTTTCTTCAGATCTGCTGTGGGACGGACTGCTTCAGATCCTCCCTGCCCACAACTTCAGCATCTATAACTCTAATGAAACCAGGATGATGAGCTACAACAACAATTAATTTCCCTTTGGGATTAATAAAGTATTTCTGAATTGAATTCAACTGAATTGAATGCTGTGATTGATATACATTCCTTCAAATAATGCTACTTTTGAG